CAAAATGAAATAATTAACTGATAATATAAGCACGTAGCTATTCAACATCTACACCTATCAACTAACGAGAAAACAGTATAGTTTTACAAGTAGAAAATTCACACTTAACAGTTCTAGTGATTGGAGCGTCAAGGCAGCATACATTATTTTGTTTAATATTAGTACAGATTGTGCTACTATTTGCTCTAACCACGAATCGGTGGATAAATAACGGCATTTTACAATACTTGTTCAACTTTTTACAATTTCCGTTTTCACTAAGAAAACATACTTTTTAAATTAGCATACGAATTGACGGTGTCATAAATATACTATATACTTTTGAGCATTTTAACGTACGAAACGATCATACTATTTGGCACAAACTAATTTTTTTTGATCAACTATCTTGCATTGGGAGTATAATTTCGAAGTAGTTTTGGCACTCAAGTATTGAAATAGGGACTTGAATGGAATGCTGAATCCGATTAGGTTTAATCAGTATGTAGTTTACATATAGTAGTAACATTTCAAGACACAATTATTGCTCAGCAATATTTGAAATTCGGTTCTTTCCGATCACTGTTTTTTCGTGCGATTACAATACGCGATTTTGTATGAATTATAATTTAGCCCTATTAGCTTGTGGAAGGATGTTAAAATAAACATGAGACATCGATATGTGCGTTTTATGGTGTGTGTTTTGAGTCGATTTAATTGTCTAACAAACCTGATTATGTGCATAATTTATCGCAAGTGGTTCGAAAACTATACAATTGCATTCACACTTTATGGGAAAGTAGATAAATAATAATAGAAACATTTTTTCCTAATTATGAGCAATGGTTCGGTGATTAGTGAATTAATTTAACGCTGTAACTATATCCTAGTACTTTTGTGAGAAAAACAGAGCTAGCTTGGAATATTTAAATATCTGCGTATATTTTTAATCTGAACCGGAGGTGAACTAATTGGTTACCATAGTGTTTTTACTTTTAAGTCGGTTTAAATTGTTTGGATGCAGTCAAACTGGATAACATTTATTTCCAGTTTTTAAGAGTTTTTATTTAGTTTTGTATGTTATCGCGCCTAATATTCGAAAACTTAGAAATCGCAACAGTTTTTTAAAAATAAAATGTTCACTTTTTATGCATGCGAGCCTTTTCTTTAAAGTGTTTGTTCTTGGCGCAATTTGGAAAAAAATGTCCTGCAAAAGCTTCTGAATTGACAAAGCTACATTCAATTTAATGTTTGGAATTTTTGCAAACAAATGCAAATTCAAAATTTGGCAAGCATGTTTTCTTGCAACTGAAAAAGTGCTTCAAAGGTGACAAATTAATTTTATTTTAATCCCCTATATAGTCGAGTTAGAGACAGAATTTAAAATTGAAAAAAGTGAATTAGCACTTACGGGTACCAACCAAAACGAATGTTTTTATAGCTCTTATAGCTCGTAGGACGCGAAAGAATCAGTGTATTTAATTTAGTCCACCTTGTAGGTCATGGTCCTCAATTTAGTTTGGCCTCCTCAAAGGCCGATATTTTTTGTTGGTTTATAAAGCGAGCTAATTAGAAAATCAATGCTATTTGATAGATTTAAAAGCCAACAATGTGACAATTTTAAAAAGAGACAATTTTCATATTGGAAGTGCATTAGATGACAAAAATTTAGCATTCGTATCCAGTTCTATCTTAAGTTAATTCAATACAAGTAGAAATATGTCGAAAAATGTATTGTTGTAGAAGTTCATGATGACTTTAATATGGATGTTAGTAGAATTTTCTTACTCTATTTAACTCACAAGATCTTCACAGAATATACTTAGTTTTAAGTTAGTAAAAGTTTTAGTTTAAAACTTTGATATTTTTTCTTCTAACTCGACAAGTATTATTGTGATTTTTGACAAACCCTTTATATCGTTGCTCAAAAATCTACCAGATTGTCGAATTAATTCAAAATCGCAAAAGATAGACGTTATTAAGTATAGGACAAACTAAAACAACAGCAAATAATTTTCTCAGAAACTTTCATGCTCAAACTTAACAAAAAACCTTTAAGACTCTTTAAGTAATTAATAGAATATGTTTCGGAACTTTATAAACCTCTCAGTTCTATTCAGAGACAAAAATAGTATGTGTTGAGTTGCACCGTGCAACTTTTTGTCGTTAATTCCCACAAGAGCAAAAAGCTTTCAACTTTGAAACATGATTACGTTTTTCCTAACTGTTGCTAAAACCTCGAAGCCGCATTTATCTTAAAAAAATTGAGCTGGGAAAACTCATCTTTTCTATTTCTATAGTTAATAGCAGCTTCCACTATTATCTAGAAGCTTTCTCTAAATGAATAAATCTGAGTAATTCACCTGCGTCTATTGCAAAGATTGCCCATTGGGTTAGAGATATAGAGGAAGAAGGATGGATTATTACGGCAGTAAAACTCTTCAACAGTAATCGGTGTGGTTGATCATGCAGATTACTTCTCCTTCTCCCGTAGTATGTTTGTTAACTCCTTTCTTTTTACATCGTCGCTCACAGCTTCTTTCAGCATATCCCATAGGGAATCTTTATTGAGCAGAACGTACTGACTGTCCGCATGGTCCTCAATATCATTGTTATCACTCTCCACTTTGGCTTTGACTAGCTTTGGAGGAATTTCGTGAATCTGTTCGGTGTTGACGTGAAGTATCACATTGGGACGATTCGGCTTTTTTTCGGGCATCTTGTCTTTCACTTTCGAGGACTTTGTGGTGGAAACTGTGATCGTTTGGTGCGTCCTTGGTTCAGCTGCTGGTGTTGGTGAGGTCACTTTTGGAAGTTTAGTTGCTGCCGAAATGTTTTCAGCAAGTTTCGGCTTTTCCTTTGAAATTTGCTGGGATATTTTTGGGTCAAACTTTATGTGTGTAGTCGATGCTTTTCCCGTTTGCACCTGCCCTATTAGCACTTTCCTAAACTTCCGATCAACGACTTTTTTTGCTTTGTAAAACTTTACCGGCTCTATTGTGGATGACTGTTCAGGTTGGGTAGTGGTAGATAAGTTAGATTGAACAGAGTTTGAAAATTCCGTCGTAGGGTCAGTTTTTTGTGTTGTGCCTCCTGACATTGTTAACTCACTCTCGGCATTTATCGTGTACGCCATCAAACTCACCAGCTTCACTTCTTTGGAATTTATCTGTATTTCCCCTGGAATATTCCTAGCTGCTGTAGCCACTTCCTTCTTTTCACATGCTGCTGGCACTTCAAAACGTTCATACATGCCACTGTGGGCACCAAACCATATGTTCATATCCTCACTTCGAACGGAATTGAGTAAAGCACTCGCTCCTTTTGCATGGAAGAACACATCAGCAGCCAGATCTTCGCGACTCACAGGGTATACTTTCGCATAAGCAGGCCGAATTGCCGAAATTACGAAAGTACTTCGTGCATTGTACTGGACGCAGACTGGACAAGGTGTGGAAATGTTGGCAAATATGAACCAGAGTTTATTGCCTCGGCTTCCGTGTTGCATTTCAGCCATTTTTTGAGGCGCGTTGAGTAGTTGAGGCGGGTTCGGTGATACTTCAAAGCCGGAGAATAGAGTGACTTCTAAACGCAGGACTGGAGACGGATGATCTCCTTTCCATCTGAAAATTGCAAGTAAAATAACTGGATTTTGTGGAAATATGTCTCACTATATTTTAGTTAATTCCGTCATCCTTAAATCAACTAAATGGTTTAATTGTGACGATTTGGTCGTTTTATTACGTTGACTGGCTTCCGTTGGTTCTTAAGTCCGCGATTTGCAATATTAGCACACAAATTAGAATTTCATCACAGGGGATGTAGATGTACTTTAACTTTTTTGAGAAAATTGAAAAACTTTATCTTCTTTGCATGGTCGTAAAAATAACTGTTGAATGGCATGTAATTTTTCTTGATGGAATTGCAACCTAATACATGAGCAAATTAAAATTTTTATCACTTCTACATGCGAGTTTTCTCTGTTAAATGAGCTAAAAGTCAACGTTCTAGCTGCAATGGTTTGAGTCTTAGGAATTTTGAAAAAATGGCCTGCATTGCAAAGCCTCGAAACTGAAAAATTTTCATTCAGCTTAATGTTTAAAATTATCGAAAACTTTGACCAAAAGCTGCATAAAATTCAAATTGTAACCGCTTACAAACCGACGTTTTCTACAATGACTAGAGCTGCAAAATTTTCTTCTCTCCCCAAAGTAGGTACCTCGATTTATTGTGCAGAATATACCGCAAAAAGTGCCCAAATTCAAATATCGAATTTTCTGTGTCTAATATTTTAGTCAACTGCGACGACGAGAAAATAGAAATTTTGATTATGTATATCTGCGAAATTTCTCTTTAAACTGAGTAACAAATCAACCTTCTAGCTGTTATGGTTTGGGTCGGCATTTTGAAAAACTGCCCTGTAAAAAGGTGTCTATACTTCAGTGAAAGACGACTATTTAGGTCTGTGGGTTTTTCGGTCAATAGATGTGGCAAAAATAAAATACTTTTTTTCATGGATCGACGTTTCGACTATATCATCCGCAGGGCTCTATGAGGCCCAGACATCAAAATTGAAATTTCTTCAGTTTGAGCAACCGACTATACGCTTTCGAATTGTGTATTGTGCTCAATACATGCCAACTTCCAACTGATATGTTGTGTGCCTGAGGCATTTTGGAAAAATATCCTGCAAAAAGCATGCAAACTGAACAATCTACGTTCAACTTAATTTTCAATTTCTCGCAAACTTTGACCAAATGCACGAAAAAGTTAAATTCGAAGCACAGGGTAGAAATGTGGAACTCCTACTTTTGTTTTGTTCAGAAGTTATTTATCAACTTTTTTATCTCTTATTGTTTTTTTAAGGGCATTAGTTTTCCATACATTTACATTAGAATGTTTAATTAAATTAAATTTTGTTTGTTTATATCGTTGCGCATATTGTTACCATGTTTTTATTTAAGTAAAATTCATTCAAACTTAATAATTGTAATCTGAACCAAAGTACACAATTTAGAAGAATAATTTAGATTGTTAGGAATCAACTAATAATGCGTGCCAATATTGTTATATGAAAACGTTATTAGGTTTACAAAAATTAACTTAATTACTTACACATTTTGAGAACCTCAAGGAAAACGATTTTATGTTTTTGCGGGCAAACTAGTGGTCTTAGGAAAAAACAATAAGAGATAAAAAAGTTGGCAAATAGCTTAACGTAATCAACATTATGTTGAGAAAAGTTTAAGTACACACAAAAAAGTTCTGAATAAAACAAAAGTAGGGGTTCCACATTTCTACCTTGTATAAAAGCAAACTGAACCACGAAACACTATCATAAAATGGCACTTAATTAGCTTATAAAGTATGCCAAAATTGAAGTTTCTATATTTAACCGTTTTAAAGGAAAACAACAAAAACTAATATTTTCCGCCATTTTGGAAATCAAATAACTCAACAACGAAACCTCTGCAAGTTTCTCTTGAAAGTGAACTAAAGATCAACATTTCAGCTGATATGGTTTGTACCGGAGGCATTTTGAAAAAATGTGCATCAAAAAGTTTCTAAACAGGATAGTTTATACCTAATAAACTGAATGTTTAAAATGTTTGACAACTTTGACGAAATAAACCACAAAAGTAAAATGTAAAGCACGTACATAACCGAGTTTTCTTCTTGCAATAAACTCAAAGTGAACGTTCTAGCTAGCTAATTTACACTGTGGGGCACTTTGGAAAAATATCCCGCACAAAGTGGGAAAATATTTTCCCACATATATATAATAAAAAAGTCTAATTATCTGCTTGCATGCGAATTTGCGAATGAAAAAATCAATTGCGAATTGCATATGCATGCGAATTTTCTCTTTAAAATGAGATAAAAATTGGGCTTCCAACTGGTACAGTTTGTACCTGAGGCCTTTTGGAAAATTGTCGAGCAGAAGTTTCTAAACTGACAAATCTACAGATCTAAAACTTATTTTTTAAACTTGTTGCAAGTTGAATGAAAATTTGCTATATATGTATGCGAGGTTTTTCTTTAAAATGAGCTAAAAATCAGCCTTCCAACTGATATGGTTTTGGACTGATGCATTTAATATATAATTATATTAATCATTAATCTATAAAACTATGACTTAATGTTTGAATTTCGGGCATTACTTAACTAAACTCACCAGAAAATATTTTTTTTCATTAGCATTAGCAATTTTTACAAATTTTTAAACACAAAGCTGACCCGAAAAAATATAACTCCTTTCCAACTGAAAGTTGCAAGTAAATTTTGTGGAAATGTGTCTCATTATTTTTATATGTATCTCTCACATTTTCGCTAATTTTCTTTTCAGTTCCTCCAAACCGATTAAATCTGACGAGTTTTATTCCGTTCACCAGCTGCCTTTGCTTCTTAAACTGCTAAATTGCAATATCCAAAACGCAAAATAAAATTTTGGTCATCAAAGGAGTAACTACCGGTTAGGAAGGAAGTGATAATTTTTCTTTTGTTGACAAATTTAGAAACCTTTACCGCCTGTGAGTGCTTAGCTTAGAAGTGCCAGTCAAAACCTTCCTACTTACTTAAAACAAGTCTCTATTTTAATAGCCGGCAATTTTCCTTCGATTTCCTCGATTGAACTGCGATCTGGCAATATTTCTTCCACTATTCCAGACCTGATTTCAAGCAGACTAGTTTTGTCCTTAACCACGTAAGTGGAATAGAAAGCCCTACCCTAAAAACAATTTAAGTTCAATCACGCATCTTTAGTGTGTGCTTTAAAATACCTGTATTGTGGCACATCCGGCTCCAGTGGCGTAAAGCAGAACTTTCGTGGGCAGACTGGGCAAGTCCACCTTGTAAAAGGAGTCTTGGTTATTGAAGTGCAGAGTATCCGAAAATTCCATTCCCGAGGTTGCCAGCGCAATAATCAGCTCCCTAATACGAACACCTTCCAATTATTGACTATGTTTAAAAAATTATTCACAAACCTGTGCTGATCGTTGGCCATTGAATTATATTCTGAGAATGCTGTTACTGCAGGATAGCGAAGTTCGTAGTGATTATCGAGTATTTCGGAGCGATTGATTAAAAACGTTGCGACACTTTGGGCGCTCTTCAGGTCGCCGATCAGGCAGAATGTGGATAACGCGTATAGAGATGCTCGGTATTGTTCGACAGTAGCTAAAACAGATCAAATTAATCTCAACAAGAACTTACAAACTAAAAAATTGAGTGTGAACTCTTACCAACACAAGGTATTGGCCCAAATGCATTCTGAGATTCCGATTCATACAGCCAATCAGCAGCGTCTCTTTTGGGGGTAAAGTTAGGCCATCCAAACTCGCCATCTTCGGTGGTGGATGCATTTCGAAGCTTTTCCACAGCCCAAGCTGCTGTTGCGCTTCTGACCTGTATTATTAATAAAGGATAAGTATTATTAATAAAGAAAGATATTGATAGTGGATAAGAAGAATTATTTATTTTTTAAACGATACAAAAGAAAATAAACCACTCGAGCTCAAGAAAATTTAAAATTGTTACCAGAACTAGAGCGAACGCGACTGCAGCAATGGTTTCAGGAGATTCCACATTGGGCAGGCTGTTTTCCAAGAAAATTTTCGCTTTTTGTAGAGTATCTGAAATAAAAAAAAAATGAAAACTTATGTGTCTTGCTTTTTTTCTGAATTCATATCTTCACAACACTTTTTTAGTATTAACACAATTTCTGATTAGATGTTTCTTTAATAGAAGAGGACTTGCAAATAAATTTTTTATTTTAAAGTAATTCGAATTCTGGAACATTTTTCTGTAATGTGCCAAAATAGCAATAAAATAGTAGTAGTAGTAAAATTATTTATCTCTTAATTTCTTACGAAAGGGCTATCGACCTATCGGTCTTTCTGCCCATTGCAATAAAATATTTGGCAAAAAACACTGAGATATTTACAAAAAGCTGAATCTTCATTGTTCGTCAATTCGTGTCTCAATACAAAAGTAGCCGCTCACAAATTGATCTAAACAGTTAAATATGGACAAAATATGTTGATTATTGGGTCGTGGTTTTTTTAAGAAGCTCGTTGAAATCCTCTCTTCCTTCTGATGAAAATTATGATGTAGAATTGGATACATTTTAGAAGACTTGGATTTTTTGGCAAAAGTCGAGCTCTCACTCCATGAAAATCCTCTCTTATGAAATTTTCAATCAAAAGTTCACAGCATATTTTTTGGGTTCTTCATAAGAAGTGCCCCAATATACACACATAAAGTTTTTGCATCTAGAATCAGGAAGATATTGTCGGTTAAAAATTGTGACTAATCAAAAACGACTCAAAATAGACATAGAAAATGTCGATTGCTTCGGATCTGATCATTCTAGCATGCTTTTAACAAGCTCGCTGCAATCCTCACTTCCTGCTGATGAAAATCATGTAGAATTTGAGGAATTTTAAGACCTTTTTTGAAGAATTTTTTTGGCTTTTTCCATCAAAAATGGAAATTGTTCAAACGTGTTTTTTGCTCACATTGGATTTATTCCGATCTTAGAATCACCTCAACATAAATCTACT